ACTGTTCTGTTGCTTTTAGCTACTGTTCTGTTGCTTTTAGCTACTGTCCTGTTGCTTTTAGCTACTGCTCTGTTGCTTTTAGCTACTGCTCTGTTGCTTTTAGCTACTGCTCTGTTGCTTTTAGCTACTGTTCTGTTGCTTTTAGCTACTGTTCTGTTGCTTTTAGCTTGCAGGAGGTCAACCCATTGTCATTGATCATGTAGTCAGTCGATGGCTTTAGACAGAATCTCGTTAGTTTCTGAGATAACGAGCTGACATGGATTTGGTTTTTTAGAGTCCGATAAAAATGGCCGTCTCCTTCAGCGCCAACAGAACCTCTGGAGACCTGGGCTGCGAGTCTGAACCCGGGTACATGGTCAGTCTGGCTCTCATCAACCTGTTCACCATGGCGGTTGGTCAGCCGGTGAACTCCAGGCTGCTGTGGCTCACCTCCACCTCCGGCAGGTCCACGGACGTCCTGAACTGTAACTTGGCTCTGTTCCACAGCTTCTTGTACCTGGTGTGCGTCATCCACCTCATCTTCTTGTTCTCGCTCCACCACCTGGAGCTCCTGAAGGTCCTGCTGATCTACGCTCAGACCGGTGGTCCGATGAATCTGGCCTTCATCTGTGTGGAGCGCTACGTTGCCGTGCTCCACCCCACGTGTTACCCCCTGCTGAGGAAGTACCGGTGCAGGGAGGTCGGTGCCGTCCTGGTGTGGCTCTCCTCCCTGTCCATCGCCATGACGATGAGCTTCGCCACTGTCATCTCCCCCAACGCAGGGACCATCGTTAAATACGTCCCCTTCTTCGTGATGCTGCTCATGACCAAACTGATGGTGTGGTGCAGCATCAGGATCGCCAAGGCCCTCAAGAAGTCGGGACCGGGTCGGGACCAGCTCCACCCGGTTAAGAGGAAAGCCTTCAGAACCATCTTCACCACGATGGCCATCAACTTGCTGTGCTACATCCCAGTGACGGTGATGCAGAAGTTAGAATTTCTGAACGAGCGCATGTTTAAGTGCACGCTCACGCCCGTGTGTATCCTGGTTCTGGCTGCTGCCAGCGTGGTCCACCCGGTGTTTTACCTGTCCACCCAGGGGAAGCTGCCCACCTGCTTCAAGAAGTCCACCTGACAGAGTCCAGGGAACCTTTAGGACGTTTCAGCCGAACACCATGAAGACGACAAAGAACGTAGATCTAAAATACGTAGATGATTCATGAACAAAGTGGACAAGCTTTTTCTCATGGACTGTTTATACTTGAAGAGAAGCTGCGGTGACGACTCCTGGTAGCTCCTCCCACTGCGGCAGAAACAGCAACAACGCAGAGTGGGTGTTTTTCAGCTGATGGAGGAAGAGCTGGTCCTTCTGTTAACGAGGTCCTGGTCAGCACAGCCTCTGCGTCTCCTCCCAGGACATCCTGATGCTGCTCAGTGTTAAGTCAGGTCCTCTGGACAGATAAAAAGAAAATTGTAGAAATGTTTTGTCTTTTATCCAAAGGACTTCTTCAGTCTGAGGAGCTGCAACAAACTCAGTCTCATAAATAGCACCTTCTCATAGTGGATCAGCCAGAACTAGATGTTCACATGTAAAAGGAGGACCATCAGCCCAACAATTGATTGTTAGTGCCCTAGTGGCTGTTTACTGTTCACAGGGGGTTGAGTGATACTAGCATTAACAGCAATGTAAGAGGGGGACAGTTGGACACGGAGGCTCCGCCCCTGTTTAATGATGGACAGTTATCACTCACCCCTCTGTGAGTAGCAAGTGGCCATCAGGACACTAACAATCCATCGTTAAGACTGATGGTCCTCTTGATCATGTGAACAGCTGGTTCTGGATGTCAACAACAAACTGGCTGATCCACCATGAGAAGGTGCTGTTTGTTGCAGCTCCTCAGACTGAAGAAGTCCTTTGGATAAAAGATGAAACATTTCAACAAGAAGAAACCATAGAGGACCTGACTTAACTTGGTTAGATATCCTTCGAGTTCTTTTCTACATTTTGCAAGAACGGTTGAGTAAAGATGAATGGATGGATGAATGGATGGATGAATGGATGGATGAATAGATGGATGAATAGATGGATGAATGGATGACAGATGGATGAATGGATAGACGGATGGGTGAATGGATGATGGATGGATGAATAGATGGATGAATGGATGGATGAATAGACGGATGGATGGACGGATGAATTTTTCCAACAGCCTTGGCCAGCAGCTCCTCAGCGGAGAAGGAATGAAACTCACAAAGTTCTGACCAACCACACAATTCTTGGCCCATAACCTGCAAGACAACAGTTCTTCCAGGCGGATGTGCACAGAACCGGTTCTCTGAGGCGGTGCAAGAAGAAAAACACGTAGTTTTAGTGCACGAGGAACGATCTCGTCACTTCTGATGAACAGATGAAGACAGCTGACGTTTTAAAAGGTTTCCACTGAAACGATCCAAACGAGAAGTTTGTGAATAATAATCATTTGACAACAACAATGTGAAGGTTTCCTGCATGCTGTCAGTTCTTTCAACATGAAGTCCTTCTTTTTCATTCAACCTTTATTTCTACAGGTTAATCCCATTGAGCCTCGAGGACTCTTTTACAACAGAGACCTGATTTGGTGCTTTTATTTTGTATTTTTTAGCTCCTGCCTTCCACAGCTGAAGGAAGTCGGTGTGTTCTTACTTTTTGATTTTACCTGACAGCTAATGTCTCAAGCTGAAACTGTTGCAGTTAAAACAAGCAGAACAAACCTAAAACTATCCAAACTGCTGCTAACATCTAAAACCATTAGTAGCTAAAAGGTAAAAAATTAAGCTGAAGTAGATTTCCAACAGCACCGAACCTTTTCAAGGATTTTGAAGATTTCAGTTTCCATGAGAAAAAAAATCATTAAATTAAAAAACAAAGTTGAATCATAGCCGTGATGTCGTGAACAAGCTGAACAATTTGATGCCTGAATGGCTAAAAGAGCTGAAGTAGGTAAAGTTTTAAGTAGGCCTTCATTCACACTAAAAACCGGCTTGTTGAGGTTAAGTTTGTGGCCCCTGCGGCCCCTCAGGGACATTTAGTGTTGCAGGGGTCCCCTGAAGAAAAGTAGCCGAAGATGCTGACCAGAGGGAACATGGTGACGGCTCCGAGCAGAGAGCCCAGCTGAACCACAGCTCCGCACCACACGAGGGCGCTGTGGCCTTCGTCTCTGAGGATGAGACCGATCATCACCTTCACGTAGGACAGAGAGAGGACGAAGACGATCCAGGACAGCACCTTAGGGACAGAGACGACACTCGTCAGCTTCCCCGGACTTCAAGAAGTCCAAAACATTTTTATTTTCTAACGGCCGAGTCAGCGTTGGTGCCGTTCTTTTCCTGTTTTTTATTTTTCCCGTTTTACAAACTACTTCTGCAGACTTTGTGCTATTTCAGCTGTTAATACATCAAAACGTTCAGCTCATTCAGCCGGTGGCTGATGTGACTTTTGGTTATTGTAACTTTTTACTTTTCTAAATATTTAACTATAAATTTAACTTTATCTGTTGGACTCCTGCAAGGACCAATGCAGTCATGTTCCTATTTTTAGTTTTCTACATTGGCCTAATAATCTAGCTGTTTTTATTACTTCTTTTGCATCTTATTTGTATTTAAAAAATCTGTATGCCTCTTTTATAATTTAGTGTTGTCCACACTTTGTTAAATCAGGTGTCTGTTGTAAAAGAGTCCTCGGGGCTCGATGGGACCAACCTGAAGAAATAAAGGTTGAATTTACAAATGTTTTCCACAGAAACACTGAAGTTCATGATCTCGTCAATTCCTTCTAAATTAATCTCACTGTTTTTGTCTTCTGCTTCTTTTAGCTTTTAGCTATTCTTTAGGTAAACTTAGCTTTTTGCAAGCCTTAAGGTACTTTAGCTTTAATTTAGCCTTTTGCTACTTTTGTTTTTAAGCTAGCCATTTAACACTTTTAGCTAGTCTTTTGCTGCTTTTAGCTTTAAGCTAAATTTTCCATTTTTAGCTAGTCTTTTGCTACTTATAGCTTTTAACGATTTTGCTACTTTTACCCAGTTACACTGCTTTTAGCTGATATTTTGCTACTTTTACCTACAGCAGTTTAGTGTGGTACCGAGCAATTTTAGACCAGCTGTGGTGCAGCCATTGTTGAAACCACCGGCCTCGATCCGTCCTCTTTGTCAAACTTTAGGCCGATCTCCAAGTTACCCTTTATATCCAGAATTATGGAAAAAGTTGTTTACACGCAGCTGAAGGCCTTTTAGATGAAATTAAAATTTGGAGGTCTTCCAGTCTGGTTTTAAAATGTACCACAGCACTGAATTGGCTCTTTTAAGGGTTTTAAAGACATATTTTAGCACTGGGTTCTGGAAACTGTGTTTTCTTGTGCTTTTAGATTGAACAGCTGATTTCGACACAGTCGGCCACGACCTTCTCATCTCCAGACTGGAGCACTGGGTGGGCATCACTGGCTCAGCTCTGCAGTGGTTTAGGTCCTACCTTTCTGATAGAAGTTTCAGTGTGATGATGGATAATTTTACCTCTGCTTCTGCTGCCCTCCCCTGGGGGGTACCCCAGGGCTCTATTCTTGGTCCTCTCCTGCTTTCTCTTTATCTTCTGCCACTGGGTTCTATTTTCAGAAAGCATGGTGTGCAGTTTCATTTATATGCGGATGACTGTCGAGTCTACTTCCCTCTGAAACACAATGGCTCCACTCATTCTCTCCTGGACTGTCTTGATGACATTAGAGGATGGATGGCACTTAATTTCCTCCATTTTAATGAAAGAAGACTGAGGTTATGGTCTTTAAATCCTGTGGTTCTACCAGTTTCTCTACTTTGGATTTTTCCTCTTTGGCCTCATATGAAAAATCCATTGTTACAAATTTAGGAGTGAAAATGGACCCCTGCCTGAAACTTGACTGCCATGTCAACAGCGTGGTTAAGTCCTCTTTCTTTCAGCTGAGGCGCCTGTCAGAAATCAAGCCCCTCCTCTCTAGGCACCACTTAGAGACAGTAATCCACGCTTTCATTACTTCACGCCTGGATTATTGTAACTCTCTGTTGATAGGAGTTAGCCAGGCCTCGCTCTCACGGTTACAGCTGGTACAAAATGCTGCTGCACGATTTTTGACTGGTACAGGCGTGAGCACATCACTCCGGTTCTGATGTCCCTTCACTGGCTTCCTGTCCAGTTTCTAATCCATTTTAAAGTTCTATTGTTTGTTTTTAAGTCTTTGAACGGTCTTAGTCCCTCTGATTTGTCTGAACTGCTTCAGCTTCACATGCCATCACGTGCTCTTAGATCTGACCAGGTGCTTTTAGCCGTCCTGAAAACCTTTAATAAATCCAGAGGAGACGGAGCCTGTTCAGCTCTGGCTCCTAATCTGTGGAATGAGCTGGAGGTCGGGCAGGCCCCGTCACTTTCTCTTTTTAAAACTCGTTTAAAAACACTTTTATTTCATCGGCCTTTAACCTAGAGTGAGTCAGCATCTGTGTCTTAATGTTGGATTCTTTTACTTATGATGTTCTGATTATTTTTTATATATATTTAGTTGTTTTTATTGTTTTACTGTTGTGTGTTTTTATTTTTGTACAGCACTTCAGACGGCTGCTTGTTGTATTTTAAGTTCTTTAGAAATAAATTGGTATGGTACATTGCCTTTAGATGATATTTTGCTGCTTTTAGCTTCTAGCTTGTGCTGTTTTAGCTAGCTTTTAGCTAGACATTTAACACTTTTAGCTAGCATTTGCTACTTTTAGCTTTAAGTCAAAATTTCTCTAATTTTAGCTAGTCTTTTGCTACTTAATAGCTTTTAACGATTTTGCTACATTTACCTAGTTACACAGCTTTTAGCTGATATTTTGCTGTTTTTAGCTTCTAGCTTGTTCTCTTTAGCTAGATTTTAGCTGCTTTAGCATTCAGCTAGTGTTCTGCTTGTTTTATCTTTGACATCTGAGTTTCAGCCTCTGAAGCAGAGTTCTCACCAGAGTTTGACAGGAAATTAAATTTTTCTGGTCAAAAACCACAGAAGAAGAGTCGAGCTCACCATGAGAGCAGCTCCGGAGGTTTTGTGGACCAGCAGAGGACACGGGCTGAGCACCGCCGTGGCCATGATGTACGCTCCGACACCACTTCCTGTCAACGTGAGGACACCCAGGGACATCAGGGACCTGCAGAGACACGTCCAGAACTTAATCTGGAGTTAATCTGAAACAAACATCTCGCTCCATGAACGGCTGAAGACGTGCAGCTCTTGAAGAACTGCGAGCTAAACAACCTCCTTAAAAACGATTTAAACCGACGTTCTTTGATGTTTTATTTCGTTACAAACGTCGGAGTAAACGTCACGTTTACCGAGTTTAATCCTTTCACTAAAACATTTCAACAAAAACTTTTAATGACTGAGAATCAGACGAGTTTCTTCCTCTGAAGCTCAGAAAGTCGTTAAAGAAAGGAGATCAGAATCAAAAACAGCCAAATGTTTTTGGATCGCAGCTGTTTCTGGAGAACCCGAAGCAGATCCAGAACCACGGCTGACTCGGAAAAAGACTGGATTATTCTGAAAATAAATAATTTAATCTGCTGCTGCCTTCTTCAAGAACATCTTTTGTCTTGACTTTAAACATTTAAAAACGTCGGTAACAGTTTGTTGTAATAAATAAACACTTTGGGGAGTTTGGTTTAGGTGAATCCTGAACTTAAAAACTTTTTTTTTAAAACTAGATTTATTCTGTTTCTTCTAAACATAAGAACGTTGAAGGTTAAACGTCAGGTCTTAAACTCATCCACCTCCAAGCAGAGCTCCATCTCTCCAGGCTGCTCCCTACTCTCACTACAGACGTCTGTGAGCGTCGCAGTCCGTGAGGCCTGACCGTACGGGTCGACCTGTCCGCGTCAGACACGGTAAGTCTTGGAGGTGAGTCATGTTGGACAATCAGCTGACCTGACGGAGATGAACATGGCCACGAAGCAGGCCACAGGGTTGGACACGGCGGCCAGAGCGGCGGACAGGTGGTAGGCCTTGTTGCCGTACGGCATGCAGGAGTAGGACTGGACCGAGGGAAGAACCGTGTTGGTCAGAGCGTTCACCCAGGCCAGAACCACGAAGATATAGACCACCTGGGTCCAGCTGTATGAGCCAGAACCAAAGCTGCTCCTGCGTTTCTGGGTTGGAGAGCCGAAAGGGCCTATCATGGGCCTCTGCTCGGCCCCTTTCCCCCGTTTATGACGGTTGTCCTGGTTGGTGTAGCGGTTGGTGGGGTGCTCCCTGGCTACAGACGGATGGTGGTTCAGAAGCAGGAAGGCCACCAGGCTCACCAGCATCATGGCGCTGAGGAAGAAGAAGAAGACCTCGGAAGAGAAGTTTGCAGGCTGATACTGAGCCTGCAGCTCATCAGGAGCAGAACCGTTGGAGGTCTGATTCAGTGACTGAGTGCTGTTGATGCAGTTGACTACCCCGACCCCCTGGATCAGAGCCACCAGAGCCGGCAGAAGGCCGCTCAAACCCTCCCCGATGAAGTACGTGGTCAGGTACTGAGGCCTGAGGCGTGTCATGAAAGGCAGGAAGGTGACAGAGGAGGTGCAGTCCACGACGGCGAGGAAGAACGTCAGGACCAGGAGAGCCACGCTGCGAGGAACACCCGCCACCAGAACCGTCTCCTTCCAGAAGAAACCCAGCAGGAAACTCGCCACCGTTCCGAGGCCGATGATCATGTATATGATGGCGGCCTCGTTCAGGGAGCCCGGCCGGAACCGATGCATCAGGGTGACGAGGAGAGGCCCAACGTTGGCCATCTGGATGAGGACGGACAGGTAGGAGGGCAGGTACCATCCCTCTGGGACCTGAGAGACAATGAGAGGCAGCTCCACCCACAGGCCATTGATGGAGACCCAGGAGCCCATCCCCAAGAGGCACGCCAACAGGTGGGTGAGCAGGGACATGGTCCAGGTGGGTTTTCCTGCAGCAAAACAAAAACACTATTTCAGAACATCAACAGAGGAAACCGATTAAAGAACAAACCGTCCTGAAGGATTTCTCCAAAGAGATCAACAAAAGTCTAAAAAAATCTTTCAGCTGTTTCTTTGGGGGTTTCCTCAGAGGATCATCCCAGCACACTCCTCTGTCCCACCAACCCTCTGCAGATCCTCCTCCATCCATGAACCTTCTCTCTGGCAGCTCCATATTCAATGTCCTTTGTCCAGTCTGTCCACTGTCCCTCTTCTACACGTGCCCTTACTATGCTAGCCTGTCCAACTTTGTCTCCAAAACTGAACGGTCTCTATTTCTGTTATCACTTCTTTTCGTTGTCTCCTTTGATTTAGTCTTTCTTCAAGTCTCTGGGCCTTAAAGACTCGGTATTGAGAGCACTGTTGAACGTTTTTAACAACATTCTTTCAGTCACAGACTCTGGTCGCCGTGTCGTCTTGATGCTGTTGGACCTAACCGCTGCCTTCAATGCAGTGGACCATCAGATCCTCCTGTCTCGTCTGGAGAACTGGGTGGGCATTCAGGGTCCTGCTCTACAGTGGTTTAGATCCTATTTATCAAAGAGAAGCTTCTGTGTGCGTATTAGTGCTGTGTGGAGTCCTCTGTAGCGCCTCTCACGGGTGGAGTACCTCAGGGATCTATACTTGGCCTCCTTCCGTTTTCCCTTTACTTACTCCCTCAAGGATCTATTATCTGGAAACATGGTGTTTTCGTTTTTATGCTGATGACAGCCAAATTTTTGTGCCATTAAAACAAGACAAACAGTACTCTGTGAACCCACTCCTGGAATGTATGTCAGAAGTCAGAGCATGGACGTCACAGAACTTTTTACATTTTAATGAAATAACGACTGAGGTCCTGTTGTTTAAGTCCAGTGATCGTTCCAAAGTCCATGCTGATCTGGGTCCTTGAACACATCATCTGACCGAGACAGCAACTAACCTGGGTGTGAGGCTGGACAATGATTTTAAACTAGATGCACGGATTAAATCTGTGGTCAAATCCAGCTTCTATCACTTGAGACAACTGGACAAGGTCAAGCCATCATTTTGAGTTCTATGTCGTATAAGCTTCGCCCTTTAAGGCCTTCGCTTTAGTGGGTTTATCCCGTTATGCAGAGCATAAGCACTGAAAAAAAATTAGTCCACGCCCACCTGCTGTGTGGGCCCCACCCGGTCCGTATAAATTACGTTAAGAGCGGGAAATCGGCTCCCATTTTTTCTTCAGCGAGCTAATATAGCACTGTCAGAAGAACAAAGAAGATAAATTGTGTAAATGACCAACCTTGTGAAGGATGCTTGGCCCGGCAGTCGACCTCCGGTCGTCCGGTGAGTTCTCCTCCCCGAGGAGAAGATGACAGCAGTCTTATTCCAAGGTAAGCGTCGTGGAACATTTCCCAGTGACAGGTCACTACACGCTGGACAACGCCATCTTGTGTTTTTTCCTCTTATCGCCGACCCTCGGGGCGAACCGGATGGTTCCTCCAGGGCAAGGCGTGCTCAGCTGCAGCCCCCGCTGCTCATTCTCTCCCGGGGAGCGTAGTGTAGGTGGAGGGGGGCTGAGTGAATGCTCACCCCATCCCACCTCGTTTCGCATCGGCGATCACACCGCTCCCGGCCGACAGCGCCCTCAGGGGTTGCCCGGCGGAACCCGGGAGGAGGCTGACATGAAGGGACCCCTTTTTTCTACGTCCCTCGCCTTTTCCCGCCAGTTCGGATGATCGGCGGGAAGGTTGTTTTTCACTGGGCTCCACTGTGGCTCACCGTCTTGATCCATACGGCCTCGCGTTCCAACAGGACGTTCCACGGGCGAGGCCGCAGACGGTTCTTTCCTGGTAGAATAGAGGAGTCGGTCCCCAGTCCGCTCCCATCACCAGAGTTGAGGGATTCACCGAGCGGGGCTATTCCTCGGTAACCCCCCCTGGAGCCAAGCCTCGCGGAAGCTTCCGGAGCGAAGCTGCCCAGGTCGGAGCAGCGTCCCGTCCCTCCGGAGGAACACGAACCAGACGGCGAACACGCTCTCAAATCGAGCCCACCAATGTGTTTTCAGGCAGCCGCAGTTAGCAACAACGTGCGCTGCTAGCATATAGCATGTCCAAGGGATTGAAGGCCGCAGACCTGCCTTGGAGACAAAGAACTCCCTCTGTAGGCAGCTGACGCCAGCTCAACATGTGTGCCTCTCCCACGTTTTGCCTGTCGAGGACTGCAGCGCGGAGGACGATGACCCAACGACCCACCTGGCTTCGTTACTCCCCTCGCTGCCGGAGAATCTGCACAAGACCTGATGAAGCTGCTGGAGGGACCGTCGCGAGCAAGCTTCGACTTTTCCACGGCCGCGGCTCTCGCTGAGTTCCACCACCAGCCCCGCCCGTCAGAATCCAGCCCTCTTCACTCCGGCAGCCTGCAGCTCAGCGTTTCCCCAGAGTTCGCCTGCAAGACAGCGCTCTGGGCAAACAATCGCAGAGCTCATGAGAGAGAAAGCTCTCAAAATGACGGTCTCCGGAGGGTGTGTGTAAAAGTGACACGAAAGTTGAAATAAATCATCATTAATGATCAAAGTGTCTGTTTTTTAGCCAGGCTGTAAGCCCGGATGAGCTCACAGCGGCCGCACACATAAGAGCCGGTGTCCTTTATAAGGTTTTTTAAACTCACCGCCGCTCCAAGACATTATTAGTCGCTTACAGGGCACGATGGTAAGTGAAAATAACTCGTTATAATCCCGGGCTGCACGTTTTTCACCCAAGCGATGTCAACTCGCACTCGTGGGATGAAACAGCCCCACACACGAGCCGGTGTCCTTAAATAAAGGTTTTTAAACTCACCGTCGCTCTAAGACATGACGAGTCGATCACAGAACAGCCTCCACACATGAGCCGGTGTCCTTAATTAAAGGTTTTTAAACTCACCGTCGCTCTAGACATGACGAGTCGATCACGGCACAACGGTAAGCGAAAATAACTCATTACCAACTAGAACTGCACGATCCTCACTCAAGCGGTGTCAACTCGCACTCGTGGGATGGAACAGCCTCCACATGAGCCGGTGTCCTTAAACAGGATTTTAACTCACCGCCGCTCTGACATGACGAGTCGATCACTAAGATGAACAGCCTCCATCCAACGGCGCTACGTTGATGCTGGCGCACACACACAGCTGCCGGCGCTAACCAGCTCACATCGGTATAAATGTGGTCCGCAGGCTGGTTCGGGTGGGGGCCCTTCTCTCTCACAAGAAACGACACCCGTCTCGACGAATCAACGCGGGCAGCCGTCACCACCGCGTCTCAGCTTTCGGCAGCTCACCGCAGCTAAACGTGAAGCAGCTGAAGAACCCGGTAATGAGTCCCGCCTCCCTCCAGCGCGCGCCCCTCCAGCGAGAGCGGCGCGCGTCCCTCCAGAGACAACGGGTGCTCCCGCGGGACTAGCAGCCTTCACTCCAACAGCACGGCGTAAACGAAGTCACGCCCTCCGCCTTTTCAACGTTCGCACAGCGACGTCAAACGCGCAGCCCCACCGCGTCATCAGCTGTCACACGCTTCGCCTCAGCACAAGTCTCGCCCGGGATCACACAGAAAACATTCCCGTGACGCATGACGGCGGTTGAGGGGCGGACGGCTGACAGCCGTACAAAACATGACACATCACTTAACGCACGTTCACCCTACGAACGTTACGTAGAGTGGCTAAAACATGCTCGCCGTTTTTCAGATGGATGGACAAGGTTTTTTATGCAAATGGTACAAGTTACAGTTTGCAACCTGAACCCCTCCATTCAGAGGAGTTATAAAAAACGGCCCCGTCATCATCAGACTAAATCTCATCCCTAAATGCAGAAATCCAAGTGTTTTCTGATAAAAGTAATCTACAGAGTTCCCCAAGGGAGAGAAAACACAAGGTTTTTACTCACGGATCGGAGGGGTGAGACCGTTCTTGGATCTGTTGTTTAACATCCAGAGAACGCATACCGATCATCCTAACACAGAGACGAGAGTTTTTGTTTTACCTGGATGATCTGCTGCTCCTGTCAATTCAGACAGGAGGCGCTGATGCAGGATCAGGTGTTGACATCACACCTGTTAAATCTGGGCTTCGCCATAAATTGGGAAGAAGCTCGATTTTTCCGGCCCAGACATTTGTTTCTGGGAGTGGAATTAAATTCAACCACCATGAAAACTCGTTTATCACAAACTAGATTCGACACTTTAAAAAAAAAAAAAAAAAAGTCAACTCAGCCACGTAAGATCTGGCAAGTGATAACAGCTGTCTCCGTCATGAAGCTGTTGAAATGATGTCACTCACACAGTGGTTCCGCTGGTTTGTTTCACATGAGACGCCTCCAGAGGTGGTTCTGCACGTCTGCATGTGGATCCAGTAAAACAAAACGACGGATGATCATTGTCCCTTCCTCTGTGGAAGCAGACCTCCGACTCTGGGGAAACACCTTGTTTTCTGTCAGAGGGAGTCCCCCTCAGCAGACCCACGTCACGGGTCAGTCTTCACGGACACGTTGCGGTCAGGCTGGGGGGGGGGGGGGGGG